TAAGACTTTAAGTCCGACCCGCCCCCTAGAGACAGCGTCGGACTTTCGAGATCTATGGCAGCGAGTACGAAAGCTTGAAGAGTTATCGGCCTCAAGTCCGGTTCGTGGGCTTAGTAAGACGAGACAGCACATACTCGCCCGCCAGGCCGGCCTACGAGACTCAGAGATAAGTCTGAAAAAAACTCGGTTGCTAAGATCGAGTGACTGGATGGGTACCGCACCCGAGGTAGGGCAATCGTAATTCGCTTCTCCCGGAGACCCCTAACTAATAATCTTATAAGTTTCAGCACGTTTACAGGTGCTTTGAGCTAGCTCGAGGCGGCGGCGAAGGTCCGTCCTCCCAAATCGACGAGACGAAGGCTCTAATCGTTGAAATCGACGATCTCTACAAGAAATGCAAGCGAACCGCAAGAGAACTCAAAGTCAATAGGCCAAGTAGATGTCTATTGTCGCCGAAGCCCTCTCTTGAGCCTCCACCTCGCATGCTAGCAGATGCCATGGTAGGCCTCTACTTCCGGTGTTTTGAACCAGTGCACAGAATCCTTCACGAGCCTAGCTTTCAGGCCGAGTATCGAAGATTCTGGGAGAACCCTGAAACTGTTACCACAGGTCAGAGGCTCAAAATTCTCCTCGTTATTGGTATAGGCTCCTCTCTTCACGACGACGCCGGTCCAGACAGTGAGCTACGGGGTAGGGTTCAACAATGGATATACACGGCGCAGGCATGGCTGTCAGGCCCCCTCGAGAAAGATCGCTTAGATGTACCTGGATTGCAAATACATTGCTTAGCGACACTTGCCCGCCAGATCTTCTCAATAGGCGGTGATCTCGTTTGGATGTCTATGGGCTCGCTCATTCATAGAGCTATGCAGATCGGTTTACATCGAGATCCCAAACACCTTCCAAGGATGTCCTTGTTGGTGGCTGAGGTTCGCAGGCGCTTATGGTATACCATTCTTGAATTGCTTGTACAGTCCTCCCTGGACTCGGCTATGCCGCCTCGGATCTCTTTCGAGGACTTTGATACAGAAAGCCCTTCGAATAATAACGACGACGAGATAGACGAGTCGACTGTGGCACTGCAGTCACATCCTAGAGGGGCCTATACTTCAACTGCTATACAGCTTGTGTTGATCGACTCTCTTCAGAGCCGACTCCAGATTGTGCAACTGTTGAACGGGCTACATTCTGAACTAGCTTACCCAGATGTCTTAAACCTCAGCTCGGAAATTCTGAACGCCTGCCAAGCATGCACCAAGTTTGTAAATGAAAACAGGCAGATAGGCAGGCAGATAGGCGTTACAGCATTCCAACGTAATATGTGCGATCATCTGGTGCGCAGGTTCTTGATACCTCTACACTTTCCCTTTGCCAGCGAAGCGCGAAATAATCCCTTATTCCACTATTCACAAAAGGTCGTGCTAGACGCAGCCCTAGCTTACATATCGCCGGAGCCAGATGATTATTTCGCCCGGTTAATTGCTAGCGGAGGAGGGATGTACAAAGAAGGATTCAGGTGCGCAACGGCTGCGGTAACCCTCGAGCTTCTCGTCCAAGCCCAGGCTCAGCGCGAGGACGGCACTTTTCGGAATAACACGAGGCAGCTAGATGTCCTGAAGCAGGCTGTCAGTGACATCACTGCGTTATCTTGGGAGCGGGTCCGACAGGGCGAAACCAACATCAAGGGCCCTATGTTTCTAGGCATAGTCCTCGTCATGGCGAACTCAGCGGACAGAGACGCCTTGTGCGAGTACACAATGGCTAAAACGGCAAGAGACAGTCTTGCCCTCTGTCATGAGATCTTAGAGGGCCGGGCGAAAGCCATCCCCTTGTCATCTCCTAATATTAATAGCACTTTGACATCTTCGAGTCTTGATGGCGCGCAGGATGGCTTTGGATTGGATTTTAGTTTGGAATTTTTCTTCCCTACTGAGGGCGATTGGTGATATGATGGCCAAACTATTTCATCACTTGTACTCACTCCTCATTCTGGTATATGTAGCTGTATGTATCCCTTAGATAGAATTCTAGTTAATCTAGGCACTCCCCGCGGACCATCCTACCAACTACCCATCTACTCTATCTTGATTAGGGTTCATGAAGGGTGTTTTCGTAATCTCAACATTGAATAGTCATGGCTACTCTCTGATTATAGTTTTGTGAAGCGAGTAACCGTGGCAGCCTATTCGTCGTAAGCGACATTCTCACTACCTCTAAAAGTGTCTGAGGTGTTGAGGATTTTTTTAACAATATAATGAAATAATGACAATTTTCATAGCGAGTCTTGAATACATTTATACAATCTCTCATTTTTATAAGTGTTGAGTTTATAGCAAGCTTAGGCTAACTGAACTCTATCGGGGAAGCTCGGATAGAGCTTCTCGGTGTATACCTCAAGGATTGGCTGCTTTCATAGAGCGCATTAACATCAAGGATAATAAATATCAAGCGAATGATGGGTGAGACTCATGTGAGTCATAGTTAATAATAGCAAATGGGAGACGCAGCTATATACGTATGTAATTTCAGGGTCGGGGCGCGGGCCTGGCCCCCTTCGGTGAATTCACGGTTTATTCGGTCATATCGGCCGAAAACAAAACTGAGGGCGTCAAATATCTAGAAATATCTGCAAATTATATATTAATATGCCGAGAGGACCGTAACAGCGGCAGATTGGTGCTCTACATATAAACAATGCCTGAACCCAATGTGCTCTACTTCTTTAGTTCCTAAACCATCATCAGCAAGAACGAGCTAGCGACACCTAGTTAGGAACAACGCAGACATTCTTCCTCCCCGTCTCTCAAGAATCAAGAAGAAAATACGCAAGCGCCCTCATGCCGTCTCTAAGAGTTCTCATAAGCGGCGGCGGCATCGCCGGCAACGCGCTCGCGTTCTGGCTGTCGAAGATCGGCCACGACATCACCGTCGTCGAGCGGTTCTCCAGCCTGCGAGACACTGGCCTCCAGCTCGATCTCAGAGGCCACGGCATCGAAGTCATGAAGCGCATGGGCCTGCAAGAAGCCTTCGAGGCCCAGGTAGCGCCAGAAAAGGGCGTGCAGCTCGTCGACAAGAAAGGTCGGCGACGCGCCTTCTTCCCGTCTACTGCGCCTGGCGAAGGAGTGCAGAATTTCACTACCGAGTTCGAGATCATGAGAGGGAATATGTGTCGGATATTGCATGACGCTGCCGCAAAGTATGGGGCGAAGTTCGTCTTTGGCACATCTATTGAGAGCCTAGAGGATAGGGGTAACTCTGTAGCGATTCGGTTTGCGGATGGCAAGACGGACTCGTTCGACCTTGGTAAGTGCTGCCCGGATTCTTCTCATCTTTTTTTTCCCTCCAATTTTTCCTAGGGATGTTACCAATCGACATGCTTCCCGTCCCGCCGAAAATACTACAGATTTCGCAGCAGTGAAAGACAACATATGAATGGGCTAACATAAAACACTTGGCAGTGGTTGGCGCTGATGGTCTCAATTCGCGAACCCGCAAGATGATGCTGGGGCCCGGCGTCGACGACGGACTGCGCCCGCTCAACGGCGTGGTGGCGGGCTATTTCACGATGCCCCAGCCCATGCAAGAAGGAGAGGAGTACCTTGCGACCGTCTTCATGGCGCCGGGCAACAAAGGCCTCATGATCCGGAGGTCTGACGCCAACTACCGGCAGGTATACGTCGGCTGCAGGACCGACGCCTTCAGGGACGTCCCTCGGGGCGACGTCAAGGCCGAGAAGGCCGTGCTGACGGAAATCATGCAAGGTGCGGGATGGGAGACGGAGGACGTCCTGCGGGCCATGAACACGGACAACGACTTCTACCTCGAGCGCATGGCGCTGGTGAAGCTCGACCGCTGGTTCCGCGGTCGCGTTGCCCTCGTTGGCGACGCCGCTTGGTGTCCGACAGCGAACACGGGCATGGGGACTACCTCTAGCATAGTCGGTGCCTATATTCTGGCCGGCGAAATCTCGAAGTGCTGCGGACGAGGCACCGCGAAGCAAGCCGGAAAAGATAGCACCGGGGACAATATTGCTAAGGCTCTTGCGGCCTACGATGCGAAATTCCGCCCTTTTATGGATCAGGTGCAGAAGGGGATCGCCGAAGCTGAGGGTATGGGCATGGCTACCGCATTGATGTCGTCGGCGTTCGGCATTTCCTTGCTTCACCTCTTGGCTAGCTGTGTGGCGTTGTTCAAGGTCAATATCGGCGCGATGATGTTGAAGGAGCAAGTCAAGGATTGGGATCTTCCTGACTATAAAGAGTTGCTGCGGGAGCCCTAGTTTTGGCAGCACCTCAGCCGAGCTGGTTGTAGGAATTGATGTAGATTTTTAATAGTAGCGATATGTAACATAATAAAACATCTCCTAGATATTTACTAGCGTTGTTCTCTACTCCTCGCCCAATGTACCGAATATCCTCCCTAAATAAATGCTAATAGGGGTAAAACAATATTCTCCTTTGCTCTCTCAGTGACAGTTTATCACCATATCTGTAAAGCAGACTTTTAATTACAGTTCTTGCGTTGCATGTTTTAATTCCGATAGTCTACTAATAAATATCCCTGTTTGCCTCAGAGGATTATCATCTATATTTCTTCAAGATTGGTCTTTTTTTTTTCGGCTATTCTGTGAAGTACTTACTCGCTCCAATATTTGCTTTGGTATTATGCAGAATCAACCCGTTGACGACGTCCCATAGACTTCCAATCAATAGATTACACGTCGCCTTCATATTTTTCCATTTATCATGTTTGAAGATTAATCAGATTGCGACCGATTTCTTTTTATTCTATTTAGTATGTGAACAGCATTATAGCATGCTACCCACACGTATTGTTTACGTCGATGAAGTTATAACGAATCTAACACTGCAGATGGCTGCAAGTGCCACCAGCTGGGACTACCGCCAGCCCTTTTGTCTTTCGTTGGCCAAAAATGGCTAAAAATTCATTCAACAACTTAATGTTTAAACTTCTTGCGATGGGAAGAAAAATATGATCAACTCCCGAACGGGGAATCGAACCCCGAGCCCCGCGGTGAAAACGCGATATGTTAGCCACTACACCATTCGGGATGTATTATGTAAACATTTGCCAAAAGTCAGGTCTATAGCGGGCCAGGTTACACTTAGTAGACCACCGTGAATCGAACAGTTCAAAAATAAGAGTTTGCTAGTTTACAGCCTCTCCAGGGCTACTTTCTAGGGTGTAAGCTGATTTATATCACTTGTCCTAGCAAATAGCATCATCCCTTACTAAGTATCTCATGAAGGCAACAAAGAACTTCAGGAAGCCAATATTGATATTGGTATGCTGGTGGTTTTAAAAAAAGATAGGGACTACAATCATAAATCATACTTGAAAGTAGAGAAACCTGATCAGTCATCCCAACATTTTAGGCACTATCTAGTTTAATAGTATACGACAGCCGACAGAGCTCTGATAATACAGCTGCACTCCTTACCGGAAAGGCGATCGAAAGAAACAGTGTTGTAACTATTCGAATGGTAGAGTGCCCCTGGGATGAAATATTTTCTTGCCCCAGGTTTACTTCCCAGTTTGTTATTGGCAAATGGTATATTAGGTGCCGTTAAGAAATCCATATCAATAGTTCAATTGTAATTGTACAACGAGCTTACTACCTTTGCAATAGACTATTGAGGCACGTGGTGTAATTTAGTTTCGTGAAAGAAAGAAAAATGTTGGCCGCGAAGCTAGTCTAAGCCACCATCTCTTAACGTCGGATGCCTCTGGAGCTACATTTCTCATCGCGGCCACTGACTCAAGAAGGTGTCTAGACCCCCTGACATACACGCGAAATATGGTCTACTTCTCGTCTATACCTTGGTTGAATCAGCGCAAGCATGTAAATGAATGATAGACCAAATGCGACTTTGATACCATCAGTATGAATTACCTGGTGATTCTCATAGACGTCATGAGGTCTAGGTGATTGGTTACAGAGTCGGAGCAAAGCACCTGGATTGCATCTGCTGGTGACATCACCGCTTTGAAAATTGCAGGGGTGCGATGTAACGCTGCCCTCTCGCATCACGCTGCAGCTATTACAACAACTCTTTCTATTCCTTATGTAGGCAGACTGCAGTAGCTTGGGAGAATTTCAAGCAGAGAAGATGGGAGATGCTGTAGGTAAGTATTGAGGGAAGACGTACAGAAATAGCGAATTTCTATGTCTATGGTATGTGTATGTTGGCAATGGTTGATAAGTATCCGCGAAAAATATAACGAATACGAAAGCCTGGGTTTAAAGGTAAGCAGGCCCCTATTTGATACGAAAAGAAAAATTGAAGGAAGAGCCAGGCTTACCTACCGGTTTAGGTGCGTTGACGATTGCATATACATAAATGGTATATACAGGGGCCCTCTTAACCTAGAAATAGGTCGTAGGATATTTCAGCACATACCCATCTGAGTGCTGGATCACATCCGCTACCTGCCTACCTGGGTAGCTTGAACTGGTGGAGTTGGGAATGTTTCAATGTCGCAGGCCAAGAAGGCCACATTAAGTTGACGGAAATTACTTGCAGTACTAGACTGTTTAGGACACCGAGGTATAGACATAGGTGAATGAACCCCAATACTACCTACTGAAAACGTCATAAAATAATGATAATAATACTGCTACTATAGATCGGTTGTGTATTCTGTCTGCAGCGTTTCTAATTAAGTTCAGCTATTCCAAAGGTTCCAACATTATGGGTTGGCCAGGCGGATGATACAGATACACGTGTAGATCCGAGAGGGTGGGGTGGTCAGGGGGCTAAACCAAGCAGGGCTTAGATGATTTCCTAAAAGAGGCGATCTGACCGGCCCCACCAATGACTATCTCGTTTCTCGGGAGACGGGCGGGGACTTGTAGTGAAGGATCCAGGCCTTGACGCCAGCGGATCTTGGGGGACTGCAACATCGCATTGCTCCGCCCCAAAGATGATGTAGGTAGCAGTTCCGGGGAGCGATACTTAGGTAGCTGCTTGCCGTTCTCCATACCTATCACATGTATGTACCTACGTGGCTAGCTACCTGAACCTGGTATCCTATTTCTCTAAATCCAGTACCTCCTATTAACGAATGCTCCTTATTCAACCCTTCTAAGTCTCGCTGTTCTTGTTGCTCGTGTTGCGATATACCACTGCATTATCCTGAAAAGAGAACAACTGTTTTCGTCGGTTCGTATCCGTCACATCCATTACTGCCTCACCAGCCTACCTCCTAAGAGCCACACCGCAACCCTCACGACGGCTGACGACCAACCATTCAGCCGCTGCGACCTCTTGGCATACATAGCCAACAACAACCGACGTTTTTGGGCCTCCAATCGATTCGTCTCTTATCCTACGACAGTTGTTTCAGAGTTTCCCGTTCGGTCCAGCGCCTCGATAACTTGCCTCATAACAAGCAGCAATTCCGTCCCTGATTGAAACGCCTACCAACGTCTATTCTAACGGGGGCCATTCTAAGCGCCCTTTCGAGACAGCGCGCGGCTGAACTAGCTACCAACTGCAACCCTTCGTTAAGCCACGGCTTATAACTGAAGCCGCCAAATTATACAAAGAGACAAAAGAGAAGGAAGCAGAATAGAGTGCCGGTTTTAGAACACATTCAAATTGATTCGCATGATCTCGCGGTTCTGGCATCTTGAGTCGCAAATATTTATACGAACGACAGAGGATACGCTAGTCTGTTGTGAATAAGCATCTATCACGCCGATTTTGAACAAGTAGCAAGCACTACGGCTGTACGATATTGACAGGAGACGGCCCCTGTCGCCGTTGTCCTTTTCCTCCGCCTCCCCTTCCTCTTCCTCCTTTCGAGCCCTCCGCGAGACGCTGCCTACCATGGACCAGACAGCGCGGATACTCGATACGGCGCATCAGATCTACGCCCGCGCAAACGAGACAGACACCACGAATGCAGACACCGAAGGTCGACCCCCAGCCTACAAAGCCATTGGTATCGGCTTGGCAGTCGGCTCGGGGCTCTTTATTGGGACATCGTTTGTATTGAAGAAGGTCGGCTTGCTCAAGGCCAATGAAAAATACCAACAAGCTGCGGGCGAGGGTTATGGCTATCTTAAAAATGCTTTTTGGTGGTCCGGCATGAGCCTGATGATCTTCGGCGAGATCCTCAACTTCGTCGCATACGCATTTACCGACGCGATCCTGGTCACGTCCCTCGGAGCTATATCGGTTGTTATTGCCACCGTACTCTCCGCCATCTTCTTGAAGGAAAGGCTTAGTTTGATTGGCAAGGTTGCCTGCTTTCTCTGCATCGTCGGAGCTGTCATCATAGTCCTCAACGCGCCTACAGAATCATCTGTCGCGACCATTCAGGAAATGCAACATTATGTTATAGCACCTGGATTCCTATCGTACGCCGGTGTTATTATTTTGGTCTCTATTTTCCTGGCCTTCTGGGCAGGCCCGCGATATGGCAAGAAGAACATGTTTACATACATCTCTATTTGCAGCTGGGTTGGAGGACTCAGTGTCGTTGCAACCCAAGGCCTGGGTGCCGCGGTAGTCGCACAAATCGGTGGCACTCCTCAGTTTAACCAATGGTTTCTTTACGTCCTTCTTGTTTTCATAATAGGCACGCTTGCGACCGAAATTGTCTTCCTCAATGTGAGTACATATGAAACCCGACCGACGCTGTTGCTGACTTCGATATAGAAAGCCCTGAATATCTTCAATGCGGCCATGGTTACACCCACTTATTATGTCTATTTCACTAGTACTACCATCATCACCTCGGCTGTGCTATTTCGGGGTTTCAAAGGAACAGCAGTGCAAATTATTACTGTTGTGTTTGGGTTCTTAACCATCTGTTCCGGCGTGGTCCTGTTACAACTATCCAAGTCAGCCAAAGATGTACCGGATACTGCTGTTTTCGCTGGTGATTTGGATCAAATTCAGACCATTGCTGAGCAAGAGCAGCCTGAGACCGAACCCAAGGCTGATGCTTTGCGCGGTACTGCCGCCCTCTTGCGACGGATCTCTAACGCGAGGACCAAAATGGAGCACGAGGAATTTCAACGTCTACATAAGGAGAAGGAACTGGAGCGCCTGGCTACAGTTAGCGAAGATGGACAACCCGAACAATTCGAGTGGGATGGGCTACGGCGGCGGAGGACGACTGTGGGTAGCAACAGGAGCCGTCCATTTACAGCCCCTAGCCCTGCTCAAACGCCACATCCACCCATGGGCAGGACACGGTTGTTGAGTGACGAGGAGTTAGAAGAGCTAGAAAGGGACCGGCAAATGTCACCAGGTGTCCTCTCTAGCATTGCGGGCACCATTCGCCAACGCGCCCGCAGTGTCTTGGTGCATCGACCAGAGCTTCCCCAGCAAGAGGGACTACATAGCAGCGCATCAGTACATAGTCTAACGCATCCTGTTCAGTTAACCCAGATAGCAGTCCCCGACCAAAAGTACGACGGCGACGATAGCCGATACGGTTATGGATTGCCGGCCGGCCCATATGGGACAGAATACGGTGGTGCCTCTAGTATCTCATCGAAGAGCGGCGATCGACATATACAATTTACAGAGTCGCCTCGGCCAGGGGCCAGTGCCACCTCACTCGCTCCTCCGACACCGCCACCTCATCGAGACCATCCTCGCTCAGCACGTCGGCAGTTCTCGTTCCAAAATGTATTCCGTCGGCATCAAGCTGACAGAGTACAGGATCCAGCACTGCCGCCGATGCACGAGCATCCAACCCGCCAGGGAATGAGAGCACGGGGCTACTCGGACCGGACTCTCAAGTCGAAAAACGCGACTGAAGAGGAGAGGTTGGGACTCGTCACAGGCGACTCACAATCGATGCCAACATTACCTCGCTATGATGGGGCTTCAAACGACCTAGACGATGACGATGATGACGACGACGATATTTCCACAGATGAGAAGCGAGCGTCGAAGTATGGTAGAGTCATCACGAGTAGTTCTCCGACGAGGCGAAGTGATGACAGCGATGACAAGGCATATGAGGAGGCCATGTACGAGGATACCCGGAGGAGATGGAACGAGAGTCGGAACCGAAGCAGAGACGGTTC